CTTTCCTGTATTCACTTTTAATTTTCTTCTTTTGCACACCCTACCAAATTCATCCACCAATCTCTGCAACTTCTCTTCAGAATCTCCCAAGAGCACAGTGTCATCAGCAAAGAGCAACTGTGACAACTCCCACTTTATGTGTGATTCCTTATCTTTTAACTCCACGCCTCTTGTCAAGACCCTCGCATTTACTTCTCTTACAACCCCATCTATAAATATATTAAACAACCACGGTGACATCACACATCCTTGTCTAAGGCCTACTTTTACTGGGAAATAATTTCCCTCTTTCCTATGTACTCTAACTTGAGCCTCACTATCCTCGTAAAAACTCTTCACTGCTTTCAGTAACCTACCTCCTACACCATACACCTGCAACATCTGCCACATTGCCCCACTATCCACCTGTCATATGCCTTTTCCAAATCCATAAATGCCACAAAGACCTCTTTAGCCTTATCTAAATACTGTTCACTTATATGTTTCACTGTAAACACCTGGTCCACACACCCCCTACCTTTCCTAAAGCCTCCTTGTTCATTGGCTATCCTATTCTCAGTCTTACTTTTAATTCTTTCAATAATAACTCTACCATACACTTTACCAGGTATACTCAACAGACTTATCCCCCTATAATTTTTGCACCCTCTTTTGTCCCCTTTGCCTTTATACAAAGGAACTATGCATGCTCTGGTGGCCTGGTGGTTAACGCTCTCGCTTCACACGGTGAGGGCCTGGGTTCGATTCCCAGCCAGAGTAGAAACATTGGACGTGTTTCTTTCCACCTGTTGTCTATGTTCCCCATCAGTAAAATGGGTACCTGGGTGTTAGTCGACTGGTGTGGGTCGCATCGTGGGACACTGACCTAAGGAGGCCTGGTCACAGACCGGGCCGCGGGGACGTTGACCCCCGGAACTCTCTCCAGGTAAACTCCAGGTAATCCCTAGGTACCTTACCCTCTTCCATACATTTATTAAATAATTGCACCAACCACTCCAAAACTATATCCCTACTATTGTAGCCAAGAAAACGGCAATCAAGGAAGCTGTTCTTGCCAAAGGTGCAACTTTGTTTTCGAAACAGAGATCGCAAGTGATAGAAGATGTTGAGAGACTGTTATTGGTGTGGATAAACGAAAAACAGATAGCAGGAGATAGCATCTCTCAAGCAATCATATATGAAAAGGCTAGGAAGTTGCATGACGATTTAATTAGAAAAATGCCTGCAACTAGTGATGATGTGAGTGAATTTAAGGCCAGCAAAGGTTGGTTTGAGAGATTTAAGAATCGTAGTGGCATACATAGTGTGATAAGGCATGGTGAGGCTGCCAGTTCGGACCACAAAGCGGCTAAAAAATAGTGCAGGAATTCAAGGAGTACATAGACAGTGAAGGACTGAAACCTCAACAAGTGTTTAATTGTGACCCAAACAGGCCTGTTTTGGAAGAAAATGCCAAACAGGGGCGTACATCACTCAGGAGGAAAAGGCACTCCCAGGACATAAGCCTATGAAAGACAGGCTACTCTGTTGATGTGTGTCAATGCTAGTGATGATTGCAAAGTGAAGCCTTTATTGGTGAAATCACTCTGAAACTCCAAGAGTGTTCAGGAAAAACAAGTCCTCAAGGCTAATTTTTTGTGTGCTGTGGAGGGCAAACAAAAGGCATGGGGTCACTAGGGACTTTTTCTATGACTGGTTACACCATGCATTTGCCCCCACTGTGAAAAATTACCTAATTGAAAAGAAATTAGACCTTAAGTGCCTCCTGGTATTAGACAATGCTCCTGGTCATCCTTCAGACTTGGCAGAGCGACTTTCTGCAGAAATGAGGTTAATTAAGGTCAAGTTTTTGCCTCCTAATACCACTCCTCTCCTGCAGCCCATGGACCAGCAGGTCATTTCCAACTTCAAAGAAACTGTACACAAAAGCTATGTTTGAAAGGTGCTTTGTAGTGACCTCAGAAGCTCAATTGACTCTAAGAGAGTTTTGGAGAGATCACTTTAGCATCCTCAATTGTGTAAACATTATAGGTAAGGCTTGGGAGGAAGTGACTAAGAGGACCTTGAACTCTGCTTGGAAGAAACTGTGGCCAGAATGTGTAGACAAAAGGGATTTTGAAGGGTTTGAGGCAAACCCTGGGAATCCTATGCCAGTTGAGGAATCCATTGTGGCATTGGGGAAGTCCTTGGGGTTGGAGGTTAGTGGGGAGGATGTGGAAGAGTTGGTGGAGGAGGACAATGAAGAACTAACCACTGATGAGCTGCTAGATCATCTTCAACAGCAAGAGGCCAGACCTGAGGAAACTGCTTCGGAGGAGGGGAGAGAGAAATTGAAGAAGTTGCCTACTTCAAAGATTAAGGAAATATGTGCAAAGTGGCTTGAAGTGAAAATCACCCTCAGACAGCTATTGCAAGCCATGTTGGCAACCTGTACACTGACAATGTTGTGAAACACTTTAGGATTGTCATAAAGGAATGGGAGGTACAGGCCTCTATGGACAGATATGTTGTGCGACAGAGGTCCAGTGACTCTCAAGCTGGTCCTAGTGGCATTAAAAGAAGAAGGGAAGTAATCCCAGAAAAGGACTTGCCACCTCAAGTCCTAATGGAAGGGGATTCCCCTTCTAAACACTAACACATCAACACTCTCCCCTCCTCCCATCCCATCAATCATCACCAGATCTTCAATAAAGGTAAGTGTCATGTAACTGTGCATGTCTTCTTCAGTTTGTGTGTATTAAAATTAATATTTCATGTGGTAAAAATTTTTTTTTTTTCATACTTTGGGGTGTCAGAAACGGATTAATTTGATTTCCATTATTTCTTATGGGGAAAATTAATTCACCTAACGATTATTTCGCCTAACGTTTAGCTCTCAGGAACGGATTAATAGCGTTAGGCGAGGGTCCACTGTATTGTATGTTGAGATGACATAAGTAACATGACCGAGCTGTCAGCATAGTTGCTGATCCCCTGTACATGTATATGTTATCTGAGTATCATAGTACCATCCATATGTTTTACATAGTTGACCCCTTGCTAGGCTCAGTGACTAGCATGTGACGTCACATGATTCCGCATGTGAGCATGAGACTTGATGCTTCTCTCTCACTTCACGCTTAGGTCTAACAACAGGTAACATGGCAGGCTGGGCTCCTCCTTCTCACACTCTGCAAATATAAGTATTAACATCCAACAAGTGTGTTTAAATAGGTAGTAGGTTGGTAGACAGCAACCACCCAGGGAGGTACTACTGTCCTGCCAAGTGAGTGTAAAACACAAGCCTGTAATTGTTTTACATGATGGTAGGATTGCTGGTGTCCATTTTTCTGTCTCATGAACATGCAAGGTTTCAGGTACGTCTTGCTACTTCTACTTACACTTAGGTCACACTACACATACATTTTTTTTTTCTCTCAACAAACCGGCCGTATCCTATCAAGGCAGGGTGGCCCAAAAAGAAAAACTAAAGTTTCTCTTTTTAAATTTAGTAATTTATACGGGAGAAGGGATTACTAGCCCCTTGCTCCCGGCATTTTAGTCGCCTCTTACAACACGCATGGCTTACGGAGGAAGAATTCTGTTCCACTTTCCCATGGAGATAAGAGGAAATAAACAAGAACAAGAACTAGAAAGAAAATAGAAGAAAACCCAGAGGGATGTGTATATATATATATATATGCTTGTACATGTATGTGTAGTGTGACCTAAGTGTAAGTAGAAGTAGCAAGACGTACCTGAAATCTTGCATGTTTATGAGACAGAAAAAAGGACACCAGCAATCCTACCATCATGTAAAACAATTACAGGCTTTAGTTTTACACTCACTTGGCAGGACGGTAGTACCTCCCTGGGCGGTTGCTGTCTACCAACCTACTACCTAGGACACATACATCTTCTTCTTCTTTCTTTCAACGTACCAGCCGTATCCCACCGAGGCGGGGTGGCCCAAAAGAAAAAACTAAATTTTCTCCTTTTAAATTTAGTAATATATACAGGAGAAGGGGTTACTAGCCCCTTGCTCCTGGCATTTTAGTCGCCTCTTACGACACGCATGGCTTACAGAGGAAGAATTCTGTTCCACTTCCCCATGGAGATAAGAGGAAATAAACAAGAACAAGAATTAGAAAGAAAATAGAAGAGAACCCAGAGGGGTGTGTATATATATGCTTATACATGTATGTGTAGTGTGACCTAAGTGTAAGTAGAAGTAGCAAGACTTACCTGTAATCTTGCATATTTATGAGACAGACAAAAGACACCAGCAATCCTACCATCATGTAAAACAATTACAGGCTTTCGTTTTACACTCACTTGGCAGGACGGTAGTACCTCCCTGGGCGGTTGCTGTCTACCAACCTACTACCTAGGACACATACATGTACATGTATATATATACACACCCCTCTAGGTTTTCTTCTATTTTCTTACTAGTTCTTGTTCTTGTTTATTTCCTCTTATCTCCATGGGGAAGTGGAACAGAATTCTTCCTCCGTAAGCCATGCGTGTTGTAAGAGGCGACTAAAATGCCAGGAGCAAGGGGCTAGTAACCCCTTCTCCTGTATAAATTACTAAATTTAAAAAGATAAACTTTCGTTTTTCTTTTTGGGCCACCCTGCCTTGGTTGGATACGGCCGGTTTGTTGAAAAAAAAAGAAAGTGTGTTTAACTTCAACCATCATATCTCCATGAATCCTCTCAACACCACTGTCTTGCCAAAGGTATGCAGATATGACAGTTTAGATGTCACTCTAAACATCAAATATCCCAAATTCCTCCTTAGAGTGCATGCACTGTACTTCCCACCTCCTGTAATATAGAAAGTATAAAAAGGCACAATACCATGACTAGAACAATACACATATAACCTGCACACAAGAAACTGAAATTTCTATGACATTTCAGTCCAACTTAGACCACTGACAGGTCCAAGTTGGACTGAAAAATTTTGTCATAAGTTTCATTTTCCTAAGTGTGGGTTATCCATGGGCTGTAACATACCTGGGGTAATCATAACTGGAACAGTCTTGGCCATGTGTTGCAGTTGAGCATTGAAGAAGCGAATGCGACGAGGAGCTTGGGGGATGCTGGAGGGTGGACCGTTGGGCACCTGAACGATGATCACAGAACCATCTAATTTTCTCTGAAAGGAAGAAAAAATGAAGCACATTCTATAAAATAAAAAATTATGAAACCACAATTTAATGTTCTGTCATATTGTGAGGAAGTGTGAGCAAGGTAACATTTATGAAGGGCTTCAGGGAAACCAGTTAGCTGGACTTGAGTCCTGGAGGTGGGAAGTACAGTGCTGCACTCTGAAGGAGGGGTGGAGGTATGCTGCAGTTTTGAACTGTAGTGTAGGCATACCTCTGGCAAGACAGTGATAGAGTGAGTGATGATGAAAGTGTTTCTTCTTTTTTGAGTCACCCTGCCTCAGTGGGAAATGGTCAATGTTTTTAAAAAAAAAAATAAAGCAAACTAATTAGAAGGACTTCAAGTCGTGGGGGTGGGAAATATGGTGACTGCACTCTCAATGGTATGTTACAACTAAGGGTCACTGAAACTGTGATACAGTTTCCATGACCTTCTGGCAAGACAGCAAAGAACAAGTGATGGTGAATGTGTTTCCTTCTTTGAGATAGCCTAACTTTTTTTTCAGTACACTGGCCATCTCCCACCAAGGTAGAATGACAAAGGAGGAAACACATTCATCATCATTCATTCAATGGCTGGCTTGCCAGAAGTTCACTGACATCACAATTCATGTGACCTTCCAGACTGAACATCCCCACTCTCCAACCTCCTTCAGAGATCAGGTACTGTACCTTCCACCTCCAAGACTCACGTCAAGACAAAAAACTGCTTGTCCCCACTCCAATTAACACACACACAAACAAAGCCCACTGGATGCTCAAGCTCCCCACCACTTAAAACCTATTTCACACCCATCCCTCCAATCCATCCAGGAACAATCAATACCCCCTCCATAATATTAATACTGCAGTTCGTAGGGCTATTTTAACTGTAATGTTTGTGCACTTCTGGCAGGACTGCAACTGCATGAATGATGTGTTACCTTTGTTTTCTGGATCACCCTACCTCAGTGGCAGATGGCTAACATGTTAAAAAACAAATTTACTACTCTTGCAAAAATTACACACACACAACATCTGGGTATCAGATTAAGGAAGATGGGATGTAGGGAAGGAAGGAGGAAGCAGCAGGTGAAACTTGGAGGTAGGAGTAGATTATTGCAATCAGGGGAGAGCGCTGAACCCGTAGGAATCATACAAAGCATGGGAAACGAAAGTTTGTTTGTAGACATTTTGCCATTCAGTGGCTTTATCAATACAAATTCATTGTCTACAAATAAAGATACCCAGATGTTGCACATGCATCTAATTCTTCATCTTGTCAGTATAGTATACCATTCTTGTACTACAGGCCGGCCCCACTTTACAGCATTTTGCTTTATGGTGTTTCATTAATACAGCAGTTTTCAATTATACCCATTCTTCAATTATTCAGACTTTCTACAATAAATATAATCACCACTTACTATAAGCTTAGGATGAAAATATTTTAAGATAATGTGTGTACTGTATATGCATTTTTTAGGCCTACCTCAGTCACTCACTTAATATATGATAGTGTAAACATGTTATTAGGCTATGTTTCACTTGAGAGCAATTTTCACTTTACAGCAGTAGCCTGGAGCCTAACCTGCTGAAAAAGTGGGCCCCTACAGTAGCCTGGTACCTAACCTACTGAATAAGCAAAGCCCTACAGTAGCTCGGAACCTAACCTGCTGTATAAGCGTGGCTATACAGTAGCCCGGAACTTAACCTGCTGAATAAGCTGGGCCCTACAGCAGCCCAGAACCTAACCTGCTGTACAAGTGGGTCCCTACTGTACTTTGTAAAGCACTTACATGACCAGATGCCATTAAAGAAGGATCAATAAGCACTCAACAGATTCAGCTCAGCATTTTTCCAACATAACCTGATATTATATTTTATAGAGAGTTTATTATATTATTTCAGGTCACTTTTTATATTGTATCTTTATATATGCTTCTAAACTGTTGTATCTGGGCACCTCTGCAAAAACAGTGATTATGTATGAGTGAGGTGAAAGTGATAAATGTTGATGAAAGTATTTTGGTTTTGGGGATTTTCTTTCTTTTTGGGTCACCCTGCTTAGGTGGGAGACAGCCGACAATTGAAGACAAAAAAAAAAAAAAAATCAAAAGTGGAGTGTGATAATTACCGGTTTGTGGTGGTTTAAGGAAGGCACCGCAGGATCCCAGGGACGCTTAAGCAGCAGGTTGAGAGCCTCAACACTTGCACCTCGGTGTGTACTACTCAGTGATACCATCTTGTCTATCAACGTTGGAATCTTGGATTTTAATGTCTGTAAGGTTAAAGAGTACATTGAGTACATATCATTTTACACAATATACAAGAAAATCCCAGCATATAAATAGCCACAATAACATACCATACATATATACACAGTCTTACAAACAAAAAACTTTGGAACCAATTTCTTTTTTAATACACTGGCCATCTCCCACTGAGGCAAGGTGACCCCAAAAAAGAAAAACTTTCACCATCATTCATACTGTCATTGTCTTGCCAGACACACACAGATACGACAATGATGAAATGGTATGGTGATTCCGACAAGATGTGGAAAAAGACACTTATGTACAGTTCAGGACATTTATTAAAGGAAGCGTTTCGCCATGAGTGGCTTCTTCAGTCAGGACTGAAGAAGCCACTCGTGGCGAAACGTTTCCTTTAATAAATGTCCTGAACTGTACATAAGTGTCTCTTTCCACACACACAGATACGACAGTTTAGATGTTCCCCTAAACAACAAATATCCCAAACCCCTTCCTTTAAGAGTGCAGACACTGTACTTCCCACCACCTGTAAATGCATCAAATTGTATTTGCATAATAATCATAATAAAACTGCAAGTAAACAAATTGCAAATACATTCTTTGTAATTTCTGTGCGATTCTAAGGAAATAAGGATTTTTCATTTTCATTTTCTAATTAACATTTGACAATACAAAAACATGAAACAAAATCATTCTTTGCACTATCATCTAAGACATGCAAAAATGACACCATAATGACCTTTCCAAGATTTCTTCATTATTTATCCAACAAATACAGGTAGGCTAGGTACTAGGTTGGTAGACAGCAACTGCCCAGGAAGGTACTACCATCCTGCAAAGTAACTGAGAAGCCTGTACCTGTTTTACATGATGGTAGGATTGCTGGTATCTTTTCTGTCTCATAAACATGCAAGATTTCAGGTACATCTTGCTACTTCTACTTACACTTAAGTCACACTACACATACATTTTTTTTTTAACACATCGGCCATTTCCCACTGAGGCATATATATATATATAACCCTCTGAGTTTTCTTCTATTTTCTTACTCCTTCTTGTTTATTTCCTCTTATCTCCATGGGGAAGTGGAACAGAATTCTTCATCCGTAAGCCATGCATATTGTAAGAGGTGACTAAAATGCCGGGAGCATGAGGCTAGTAACCCCTTCTCCTCTACAAATTGCTAAATTTAAAAAGAGAAACTTTTGTTTTTCTTTTTTTGGTCCACCTTGCCTCGGTGGGATGCGGCCAGTTTGTTGAAAGAGGAAATACAGGTAGACACACACACCATAAGGTGGACAACTATAGGCACAAAAGAATTCACAGCCAGAGTGTACCTGTAAAATATCGAGGTAAGCAGTCAAGTAGGAAAGACTGAGATGCTGTAATAGGATGGAATGGAGCCACTGCGTCAATTTGGAGTCCCAGTTGACCCGTGCAAGCGCCTGTCGAAACTTAGCAGACGTTTTATCTGTGGGCAAGAGTGCTCATAACTTACAAGGAATATATTGAGAAATAGGAAATGAGAGTTTGTCAAAAAAAAAAAAATGTTGAGGATAATGGCTAGGTACATACATGAGCAAAGAAACAACAAATATCAACCATCCATTATCATTCCTTGATACCATTACAGCATTGTATACAGTACAGGGAGTCCCCAGACTAACAAACAAGCTGCATTCCTGGAGCTCCAACTTACAAACAAATTTATTAAGTTGGTATTTTGCTGTAGAAAAACAGTACAAAGAATGGTCCTGAAAATATTTTTTATACAATACAGTGGACCCCCGGTTAACGATATTTTTTCACTCCAGAAGTATGTTCAGGTGCCAGTACTGACCGAATTTGTTCCCATAAGAAATATTGTGAAGTAGATTAGTCCATTTCAGACCCCCAAACATACACATACAAACGCACTTACATAAATACACTTACATAATTGGTCGCATTTGGAGGTAATCGTTATGTGGGGGTCCACTGTACTACAGCAATTTTCAAAATACTTTTTTTGCTTTACCTTTGAAACCATAAAAATTCTTGAGAAATAATGAGAGAGACTTATGAATGATAACTCAGACACTGTCTGCACATTACACAAATAACTTGCATAGAGAACAAAACTTGTAATGACACTTTGGTCCAACTTTGACCATTAACTAGTTAGACTCCTATTAAGACAGCTCTTGAATTAATGACCATGTGCTTGCTTGTCTAGGGCACCCAACAATAGTGAGAGCTCTCTATTTGGATAAATAATAAATATCTCCAGAACAAGGTGAATGGTTATAACGCATGACCATGATGATGTACATTATCTACACAAACCCACTGTAACCTACCGACTAATGCTCTACGAGTGACAGGTTCGTTGTGCGAGTCTCTGAGAGCAAGACGACCCAGGCGATCCGCATCAAGAATCTGAACCACCTTTGCAAAAAGGGCCACCTGTGCCTCCGTCCACCCAATCCTGAAATAAGCATGTACAAAAGTAAGCAACCAAAGCATTCTCCTCACAATTTTCTATACAGAACGTCCTCGCTTTATGATAGTTTGACACCGTTTACTAATTATGTACAAATGATACTACAAATGCAAAACAAATATCTTACTTTGATATTTTTTCTTCCCAGTCTTCATTTTCCTCTTCTGAAGATGGTTTCTTGTCGTGACGCAACTCCGGTTTGATCTGGTCCAGCCGAGCAAACACAACATGCCGCTCACACTCACTCATCACTTGCTGGGCCTTTGTCAAGTCATACAGCAATGGAGGTGGAGGGGAAGGTTCGCCATCAACATCAATGTGTTCATCGTAACTGTTGGCAAGATTTTAGAAAGGTTAAGTTTTCATAAATAAATCTTGGCAGAAGTATGCAGACATCACAATTAAAATAACTCCTTCAAATACTTCATCACCACCAATTTGTCAGGTTTAGTTATTAATCTCAAGTTTCATCTCCAAAGTAATTGCCTTCCAACATCAAAAAGTCGAAATATAATTCAAACCATCCTTCAAAAAGTCGAAATATAATTCAAACCATCCTAAGTCAAGGAGCATGTGTATATTTCATGCTGCATTTGTCTGGATAAGGTACCAACTTTTTTTTTTTTTTTAACAAGTCGGCAGTCTCCCACCGAGGCAGGGTGACCCAAAAAGAAAGAAAATCCCCAAAAAGAAAATACTTTCATCATCACTGAACACTTTCACCTCATTCACACATAATCACTGTTTTTGCAGAGGTGCTCAGAATACAACAGTTTAGAAGCATATACGTATAAAGATACAAAAATATCCCTCCAAACTGCCAATATCCAAAACCCCTCCTTTAAAGTGCAGGCACTGTACTTCCCATTTCCAGGACTCAAGTCCGACTATATAAAAATAACTGGTTTCCCTGAATCCCTTCACTAAATATTACCCTGCTCACACTCCATCAGCTCGTCAGGTCCCAAATACCATTCATCTCCATTCACTCCTATCTAACACGCTCATGCACGCTTGCTGGAAGTCCAAGCCCCTCACCCACAAAAGCTCCTTTACCCCCTCCCTCCAACCTTTTCGAGGATGACCCCTACCCCGCCTTCCTTCCCCTACAGATTTATTCGCTCTCCATGTCATTCTTCTTTGATCCATTCTCTGTAAATGACCAGACCACCTCAACAACCCCTCTTCAGCCCTCTGACTAATACTTTTATTAACTCCACACCTTCTCCTAATTTCCACACTTCGAATTTTCTGCTGCATAATATTTACACCACACATTGCCCTTAGACAGGACATCTCCACTGCCTCCAATCGCTTCCTCGCTGCCACATTTACAACTCAAGCTTCACACCCATATAAGTGTTGGTACTACTATACTTTTGGGGAGGAGGAGTATGGAAGAAGTGAATGTTTTCAGATACTTGGGAGTTAACGTGTCGGCGGATGGATTTATGAAGGATGAGGTTAATCATAGAATTGATGAGGGAAAAAAGGTGAGTGGTGCGTTGAGGTATATGTGAGTCAAAAAACGTTATCTATGGAGGCAAAGAAGGGAATGTATGAAAGTATAGTAGTACCAACACTCTTATATGGATGTGAAGCTTGGGTGGTAAATGCAGCAGCGAGGAGATGGTTGGAGGCAGTAGAGATGTCCTGTCTAAGGGCAATGTGTGGTGTAAATATTATGCAGAAAATTCGGAGTGTGGAAATTAGGAGAAGGTGTGGAGTTAATAAAAGCATTAGTCAGAGGGCAGAAGAGGGGTTGTTGTGGTGGTTTGGTCATTTAGAGAGAATGGATCAAAGTAGAATGACATGGAAAGCATATAAATCTATAGGGGAAGGAAGGAGGGTAGGGGTCGTCCTCGAAAGGGTTGGAAAGAGGGGGTAAAGGAGGTTTTGTGGGCTAGGGGCTTCGACTTCCAGCAAGCGTGCATGAGCATGTTAGATAGGAGTGAATGGAGGCGAATGATACTTGGGACCTGACGATCTGTTGGAGTGTGAGCAGGGTAATATTTAGTGAAGGGATTCAGGGAAACCGGTTATGTTCATATAGTCGGACTTGAGTCCTGGAAAAGGGAAGTACAATGCCTGCACTTTAAAGGAGGGGTTTGGGATATTGGCAGTTTGGAGGGATATGTTGTGTATCTTTATACGTATATGCTTCTAAGCTGTTGTATTCTGAGCACCTCTGCAAAAGCAGTGATAATGTGCGAAAGTGAAAGTGTTGAATGATGATGAAAGTATTTTCTTTTTGGGGATTTTCTTTCTTTTTTGGGTTACCCTGCCTCGGTGGGAGACGGCCGACTTGTTGAAAAAAAAAAAAAACTACTATACTTTCATACATTCCCTTCTTTGCCTCCATAGATAACGTTTTTTGTCTCCACATATACCTCAACGCACCACTCACCTTTTTTCCTTCATCAATTCTATGATTAACCTCATTCTTCATAAATCCATCCACTGACACGTCAACTCCTAAATATCTGAAAACATTCACTTCTTCCATACTCCTCCTCTCCAATTTGATATCCAATTTTTCTTTATTTAAATCATTTGATACCCTCATCACCTTACTCTTTTCTATGTTCACACTCAACTTTCTACATAAGCATAAGCATAACAAACACCTGGAGCTGCAACGACTATGGCGAAAAGATCTGGCCATGAAGAGCATCTTCCTGGGACGAGCATGTGAAGCTTCTGGGCGCCAGTTCCAGGGTCGTGCATATGGATGATCCAGCATCACTATGTCTGGCTCACTCTCCTGAAGGAAAAATTATTAATAACCACTGATGACCAGATAGTCTGTTAAGCTGTAATGACAATCATATCATAGTAACCATATTTTACACTTTTATTAGGTGAAGACCAAACAATATAAAAAAAATTACCAAAGTGCTTGAATAGTCTATTCTACATAAAATGGTAAATATGAAAGATGCATACGAAAGGTCACAGGAATCATGAACATTTTAAAAGGCACAATACATTACATAATTACAATTAATCAAAGGGGTGTTCAATAATTTGCACAACATATCATAATGCTCTGAACTCTTGTTCAATTTTTTTTTTACTTCATTGGCTATCTACCACTAAGGCAGGGTAACCCAAAATAAAAAGAAACACATTCACCATTATTCATTCAATCACTGTTTTGCCAGAAGTATGATGACATTCATAATTCAGAAGGCACTCCAAACTGCAACACCTCGCCCACCTTTAGGGTGAAGTTGCTGCCCTTCCTACCTCCATTACCCGAGTCCGGCTAAACAATTTTTTTGGATCCATTTATGAATGTTTAGGTAGTAGGTTGGTAAACAGCAACCACCCAGGGAGGTACTACCGTCCTGCCAAGTGAGTGTAAAACAAAAGCCGGTAATTGTTTTACATGATGGTAGGATTGCTGGTGTCTTCTTTCTGTCTCATAAATATGCAAGATTTCAGGTACATTTGCTACTTCTACTTACACTTAGGTCACACTACACATACATGTATAAGCATATATATACATACATACCCCTCTGGGTTTTTTTCTATTTTCTTTCTAGTTCTTGTTCTTGTTTATTTCCTCTTATCTCCATGGGGAAGTGGAACAGAATTCTTCCTCCGTAAGCCATGCGTGTCGTAAGAGGCGACTAAAATGCCGGAAGCAAGGGGCTAGTAACCCCTTCTCCTGTATATATTACAAAATGTAAAAGGAGAAACTTTCGTTTTTCCTTTTGGGCCACCCCGCCTCGGTGGGATACAGCTGGTGTGTTGAAAGAAAGAAGAAGAAACATGCAAGGTTTCAGGTACATCTTGCTACCTCTACTTACACATAGGTCACACTACACATACATATACAAGCATATATATACACACCCCTCTGGGTTTTCTGCTATTTTCTTTCTAGTTCTTGTTCTTCTTCATTTCCTCTTATCTCAATGGGGAATTGGAACAGAATTCTTCCTCCGTAAGCCATGAGTGTTGTAAGAGACGACTAAAATGCCGGAGGCAACGGGCTAGTAACCCCTTCTCTTATATAAATTACTAAATTTAAACAGAGAAACTTTCGTTTTTCTTTTAGGGCCACCCTGCCTTGGTGGGATACGGCCGGTTTGTTGAAAAAAAAAAATTATAAATGTTACTTTGCTCGTGCTATTACAATAGCACATCCAATAAAACCACTTATCTACATAAGCTCCAATCTAACTGTTGAATTATATTTTCTTTTAACCCTTAAACTGTCCAAACGTAGATCGTAAAAAAGTAGATCTTTCTTTTTTTTAACATTTGAAAACGTGTAAAAAAACTTTGATCTACTTTTTCTTTTTTGTTATACAGTGGACCCCCGCTCAACGATCACCTCCAAATGCGACCAATTATGTAAGTGTATTTATGTAAGTGCGTTTGTACGTGTATGTTTGGGGGTCTGAAATGGACTAACGTACTTCACAATATTCCTTATGGGAAAAAATTCGGTCAGTACTGGCACCTGAACATACTTCTGGAATGAAAAAATATCGTTAACCGGGGGTCCACTGTATTTGAAAATATGTAAAAAAAACGTAGATCTACTTTTGGAGCACTACGCATGTGAACATAGATCTGCTTGGACAGTTTAACCCTTTGAGGGTTTCGGCCGTACTAGTATGGCTTACGACCCAGGGTTTTTGACGTACTAGTACACCTAAATTCTAGCGCCTTCAAATCTAGTGGGAGAAAGCTGGTAGGGATACATATGAAAGAATGGGTCTATGACGTCAGTGTGTGCAGTATAAAAAAAATCCTGCAGCACACAGTGCATAATGAGAAAAAGAAAACTTTGACCGTGTTTTTGGTTTAAAACAGCGACTTTGCACTGTATTTTCCTATGGTATTTATTGTTGCATTCTAGTTTTCTTGGTCTCATTTTATAAAATGGAAGACATATTGCAGAAACTGAGATGATACTGACTGGTTTTACAATGAAAAGTACCTTGAAATTGAGCTCAAATTAGCAGAAATGTTCCATTTTTACCAAAGTTCAAAAGTAAACAAATCATGCCAAGCGTCCAATACACGTCAACTGGTGAGTCTAATATTCTTTTACAAGTGCGCTGATATTATTTATACCATTTCTACACTAATGCAGCAGTCTGCATAACAGTAAATCTTCTATTTTTTGTAAGAATAAAAATTGAAAGTGGAAAGCCAAAGAAATATAAGAGGGGCGTGGGGATGTGACTAATGAACAGAGGAAATGTTATTTTAGTCCCAGGAATGTCTTTCTTGTTTATTCTGGACCCTATTTGGAAATTGGCATCTTTTGAAATTTGTGTGAAATTGGCAAAATTGCTAAATTCTGACCACTGTATTGGATAGTTGTAATCAGTAAATGGGTGGTTTCTTGTACTCATTCAATAGAAAAAATAGAGTTCTAGAGAAATAGTTATGATTTTTGTCGACTAGTACACTGGAATTGGCCAAAAATAGGGCTCAAAATGGGCAAAATCGCCGATGCGTAAACATCGTCGAAGACCGCTAACTTCACGAGAGCATAATTCCGTAAGTTTTCATTCAAATTTCATACTTTTGGTGTCAATATGATCGGGAAAAGATTCTCTATCTTTTCATAAGAAAAAATAAAAAAAATTTTTTTAAATTTGGCCGACCCTGAGAACGAGTCTTGGAGAGGGCCTGTCGACCCTCAAAGGGTTAAGGGTTAACACACTGGCCATATCCCATCAAGGTTGGGCAGTGCCCTTTCCTGATATCAAGGCACCCCATCCTCCTTGAAAGGCTAAATTACTTAAGCTTTATGCCAATAAATTCAAGGTACCACAGAGCACTCAGAACATTCCAAACCATATCACGGGTGGGGTTTGAACCTGCGGTCTAAGAGTCTCAAAACTCCAGACCGTCGCATTAGCCACTGGACCAGCTAGCTTCAATAAGATTTGTCCAACTAGGTAAATTTCTACACCATAGGAAGGTTAGTATAGGCACCACTGTGCAGCATATGGGAATCTTTACTCAGGAAACGTTTCGCCACACAGTGGCTTCATCAGTCCAATACACAGAGGAAGGCGTAAGGAGAGGAGGAGTATGAGGTAATCAGTCCCTCAGCCTGATTACCTCATACTCCTCCTCTCCTTACGCCTTCCTCTTTGTATTGGACTGATGAAGCCACTGTGTGGCGAGACGTTTCCTGAATAAAGATTCCCATATGCTGCATAAGTGTCTCAATCTTCAACTTGTCGGTTTTTCAAACCATTCATCACACAGGCACCACTGTGTCCACAAATGCAAGTTTTTACAGACGAATCTCCCGCTAGCATGGCCATGATGAACTCTAGCTCAGGTCCCCTCAAAGGTCACACTACACATACATGTACAAGAATATACGTATATATACACCCCTCTGGGTTTTCTGCTATTTTCTTTCTAGTTCTTGTTCTTGTTTATTTCCTCTTATCTCAATGGGGAAGTGGAAAAGAATTCTTCCTCCGTAAGCCATGCGTGTTGTAAGAGGCGACTAAACTGCTGGAGGCAAGGAGCTAGTAACCCCTTTCTCTTGTATAAATTACTAAATTTAAAAAGATAAACTTTCGTTTTCTTTTAGGGCCACCCTGCCTTGGTGGGATACGGCCGGTTTGTTGAAAAAAAAAAATTATAAATGTTACTTTGCTCGTGCTATTACAATAGCACATCCAATAAAACCACTTGTCTACATTAGCTCCAATCTAACTGTTGAATTATTATTTTCTTTTAACACACTGGCCATATCCCATCAAGGTTGGGCAGTGCCCTTTCCTGATATCAAGGCACCCCATCCTCCTTGAAAGGCTAAATTACTTAAGCTTTATGCCAATAAATTCAAGGTACCACAGAGCACTCAGAACATTCCAAACCATACCACGGGTGGGGTTTGAACCCGCGGTCAGAGAGTCTCAAAACTCCAGACCGTCGCGTTAGCCACTGGACCAGCTAGCTTCAATAAGATTCGTCCAACTAGGTATATTTCTACACCATAGGAAGGTTAGCATAGGCACCACTGTGTCCACAGTGGCTAACACGACAGTCCGGAGTTTTGAGACTCTCTGACCGCGGGTTCAAACCCCACCTGTGGTATGGTTTGTTTAAAATCATGTCATTATGATTTCGTGAGTCATGTTGACGGCTTTGAGGGGACTTGAGCTAGAGTTCATCACAGCCATGCTAGCGGGAGATTCATCTGTAAAAACTTGCATTTGTGGATACAGTGGTGCCTATGCTAACCTTCCTATGGTGTAGAAATATACCTAGTTGGACGAAACTTATTGAAGCTAGCTGGTCCAGTGGCTAACGCGACGGTCTGGAGTTTTGAGACTCTTTGACCGCGGGTTCAAACCCCACCCGTGGTATGGTTTGTTTGCAATCGTGTCATTACGATTTCGTGACTCAGAACATTAAACAGCAGAAAAAAATTTTCAGATGTAACAAAAATTGTTCAGAGTAGAGCCACACCCAAAAGAACTTGCAACATGCACACAACATACTTGTCCACTTGCCAGCCTCAGCACAGAGGCAAACCGAGCATGGGGATCACTTAAACATCTTGCTTTAGATTCCATAAAGCTGTCACTGAATGCTGAAGTGCTCCCTGGGGCTCGTGGAGACCCAGGGCGCGAGGATGGGCATGGGCGACGGAAGGAGGAGGAAGTGAGACCTGATGATCCTGCATGGCTCTATATAGGAAAAGAACACTGTAAATAGGTGGTCCTTGACATACTATGGGGTTAGGTTCCAATGAACCCATCGTACGTTAAAAATATCATAAGTCGAATATGAAAATAATATGATAAATAAGTAAATACAGTAAATAACTACTGTCACTGAATATATGATAAAAAATAAAAATATATACTGTCACTGAATAAGTAAACAAATAATTACTGTAACTAACTAAATACCAGTACTGAAAAGTAAATACAGTGGACCCCCGCATAACGATCACCTCCGAATGCGACCAATTATGCAAGTGTATTTATGTAAGTGCGTTTGTACGTGTATGTTTGGGGGTCTGAAATGGACTAATCTACTTCACAATATTCCTTATGGGAACAAATTCGGTCAGTACTGGCACCTGAACATACTTCTGGAGTGAAAAAATATCGTTAACCGGGGATCCACTGTAAATGAATACAAGTTTACTCTATCAATAAATGTACAACAATGTACATGCAACATTTCTACTGAATGTGCATCTGTATCGCACTATCGTAAAGTTGAAATATTGTAAGCTGAACCATCGAAAAGCAAGGAGCATCTCTATATTGAGAGATGTCTTTAAAATTCTCTGCAAACTTTCTTCATCATTAATGCTAGTGCTAATGAAGTGTATCATCTGTGCAACAGATTTTAATTCTGGCCCATTTATCACTTTTAACTTTCCATTAACATTTATATCAGTCATGAAGGAATGACTACAGCCTCTCCTCACTTAATGACAGAGTTCTGTTCCTAAGACGTCAGTAAACAAATTTGTCGCTAAGTGAGGAGCATACCATAATGGTAGTGGGTTTGTGTCAATTATCTCTGATATTGTTTTAATGTCACCTTTACACCATTTATAACATTTCTGGTATATTTTTAAATGTTTATATAGCAGCATACTGTACAGGAGGGCCCCACTTATACGGCGGGTTAGGTTCCAGGCTACCGCCGTAAAGCGGAAATCGCCGTAAAGTGGAACACCCTTTTTTTCCACTTACAAATGCATACAAACACTAGATAACAAGTTTACACTAACATATATTATGTTAGCAATAGAACCAGGCATCAAAAAACAATAAAAAAGTACAATACACACATAGTGCACTCATTACTTACCTTAAAAATATTTATAGTCTAATCTAGGGTGAGACAAGTAGTATTTATTGTAAGAAATCAAGTGTGTATGTATGGTAGTCAGCCAGGCTACCATACCAGGCCACCCCACCCACACATACTATTCTATGATATTTAAGCATCCCAGAGTGATAAAATGTATATACAGTTCACTCATTACTTACCTTAAAATATAGGGTGAGATGAGTAGTATTTATTGTAAAATATCAAGTGTGGTATGTATGGTAGTCAGCCAGGCTACCATACCAGAGAGAAAGAATGAGTGCATGAGAGAGGACAGGCACAGAGTTATGTAAACAAACCAGGCGAAGGTAAGTTTTGTAAACAGTGTACACGTCAGGTTTGTGTACAAGTTACATTGTGTACAGGTTGTCTCTACATTGATACGGTAGAATAAATAAAGAAGAACACTCCCATTCTCATGTAACATCATTTTGAGAAGAAATGATGCTCTGAGTGAAAGCAATGGGAGTAAGTCACTCTGACTTTTTTGGGTTATCCTAGGTTCTCTACACATATGTTATTATGTATTTATGTTATGTATCGTGTTTATTATATAATTTTGAAAAAAAATATCACGGATGGATTAATGAAAATGTGTATATTAATGTAATATACAACATTTAATGATACACCGAGCTCAGACAGCGTAAACAAACAAACTGAACAGGTTGTGGACGATCACTCAGTCAGGCGAAATAGAAGGTATTAATAATGTGTCCGTTTTAGTTCATTCATGTACATTTGTAAGAGTTTGTGAAACTTTTACCTTATAATTTTTTTATTATTATTATAATAATTAAATCACGAAACAAATACTCTTACACTGTGTACAAGTTAGTACAGAATTATAGCTATAAAGTGAAGGCATACGAAAAGGAATATTTTTCTACAGTTATCCCTAGTAACAGGTGACGGGCTAGAGAAAACGTAATTCTTCCGACACTTCTACAAACCGTTTGGTAAAATCTGTATATATTTGTATAAATTTTTATTTACTGTGGGTGCATGTATCATGTTTGTGTGTTACATAATGTGTTTCTTATATAATTTTGAAAAAAATATCATAGATAGATTAAGGGAAATGTCTATATTAACGTAATATGCGACATTAATGCGCCCAAGAGATTATTATTATTACTATTATTATTACTATTATTATTATTATTATTATTATTATTATTATTATTATTATTATTGCATCAAGAGTAGAGAGACTCTTAGTGATTTTAATGTGTACCTACATGCCAGCACAGTGTGTAAGTTTATTTAGGTACAGGTGTACACAAGTTTAATTATCAAGTACAATACATATAAAATATAAAATAACTTTAAAACACTTGAAATTTTGGAAAGTTTCCAGACATAATAAGGAGATGTGCTCAGGGAGAATGTAAACAAACTCGGTGGGCCGCTGAGACCGTATTAGAAAGACAGGTGGGGGGAGCCATATAGCGAGTTTTGGTCATAATTTGAAATGTCCGTATTAGCGGAACGCCGTAAAGCGAAACGCCGTAAAGCGGGGCCCTCCTGTATACTGAAATAAACAGAATAGAGAAAATCAGCTCTAATATACATTATTTAGGTATGCATACTGGTTAGAGAGCCCATTGTAAGTCCAAGTTGTTGGTAAACAAGTACGTCGCTAAGTGAGGAGAGGCTGTATGTGGATTATTATACGTGAAGGGTTTATAACCTAAGATAACCAAAGGAAGTCCAGCAGTTTTACGTATTTTCAGTGAGGGTACCCAAGGTCCTCTACCCTAGGATGCAATTCACAAACAGTTGCATCCAATGTACCTATTTACTGCTAGGTGATGAAGCGGAGGTGTTAAGATTTGCTCCCTCTCATAATTAAAACTTTGGTTGTAAACTGAATGCATTACTACTAAGCAACAAGGCACGTACAGTATATCAAACCACTACAGTATCACATTACGTATTTCTTATCATCTTTAACTTGTAATCTAATCCAGTAAAATTTACACACACACTAAAACATCCTCAATTTACAGTATTCAAAGGACAAACATTTACACTAAATTGTCTGCCTTTCTTCTTGCACATTAAGGAGAGGTTTACCTGGAGTTTACCTGGAGAGAGTTCGGGGGTCAATGCTCCCGCGACCCGGTCTGTGACCAGGCCTCCTGGTGGATCAGAGCCTCATCAATCAGGCTGTTGCTGCTGGCTGCACGCAAACCAACGTACGAGCCACAGCCCGGCTGGTCAGGAACCGACTTTAGGTGTTTGTCCAGTGCCAGCTTGAAGACTGCCAGGGGTCTGTTGGTAATCCCCCTTATGTATGCTGGGAGGCAGTTGAATAGTCTCGGGCCCCTGACACTTATTGTATGGTCTCTTACCGTGCTAGTGACACCCCTGCTTTTCATTGGGGGGATGTTGCATCGTCTGCCAAGTCTTTTGCTTTCGTAGTGAGTGATTTTCGTGTGCAAGTTCGGTACTAGTCCCTCTAGGATTTTCCAGGTGTATATAATCATGTATCTCTCCCGCCTGCGTTCCAGGGAATACAGGTTTAGGAAACTCAAGCGCTCCCAGTAATTGAGGTGTTTTATCTCCGTTATGCGCGCCGGGAAGGTTCTCTGTACATTTTCTAGGTCAGCAATTTCACCTGCCTTGAAAAGTGCTGTTAGTGTGCAGCCTAGATAGAACAAGTGACCTGAAGAGTGTCATCATGGGCTTGGCCTCCCTAGTTTTAAAGGTTCTCATTATCCATCCTGTCATTTTTCTAGCAGATGCGATTGATACAATGTTATGGTCCTTGAAGGTGAGATCCTCCAACATGATTACTCCCAGGTCTTTGACGTTGGTGTTTCGCTCTATTTTGTGGCCAGAATTTGTTTTGTACTCTGATGAAGATTTAATTTCCTAATGTTTACCATATCTGAGTAATTGAAATTTCTCATCGTTGAACTTCATATTGTTTTCTGCAGCCCACTGAAAGATTTGGTTGATGTCTGCCTGGAGCCTTGCAGTGTCTGCAATGAAAGACACTGTCATGCAGATTCGGGTGTCATCTGCAAAGGAAGACATGGTGCTGTGGCTGACATACTTGTCTATGTCGGATATGAGGATGAGGAACAAGATGGGAGCGAGTACTGTGCCTTGTGGAACAGAGCTTTTCACCGTAGCTGCCTCGGACTTTACTCTGTTGACGACTACTCTCTGTGTTCTGTTAGTGAGGAAATTATAGATCCATCGACCGACTTTTCCTGTTATTCCTTTAGCACACATTTTGTGCGCTATTACGCCATGGTCACACTTGTCGAAGGCTTTTGCAAAGTCTGTATATATTACATCTGCATTCTTTTTGTCTTCTAGTGCATTTAGGACCTTGTCGTAGTGATCCAATAGTTGAGACAGACAGGGGCGACCTGTTCTAAACCCAAGTTGCCATGGGTTGTGTAACTGATGGGTTTCTAGATGGGTGGTGATCTTGCTTCTTAGGACCCTTTCAAAGATTTTTATGATATGGGATGTTAGTGCTATTGGTCTGTAGTTCTTTGCTGTTGCTTTACTGACCCCCTTTGTGGAGTGGGGCTATGTCTGTTGTTTTTTAGTAACTGTGGGATGACCCCTGTGTCCATGCTCCCTCTCCATAGGATGGAAAAGGCTCGTGATAGGGGCTTCTTGCAGTTCTTGATGAACACGGAGTTCCATGAGTCTGGCCCTGGGGCAGAGTGCATGGGCATGTCATTTATCGCCTGTTCGAAGTCATTTGGCGTCAGGATAACATCGGATAGGCTTGTGTTAATCAAATTTTGTGGCTCTCTCATAAAAAATTCATTTTGATCTTCGACTCTCAGTCTGGTTAGCGGCTTGCTAAAAACTGAGTCATATTGGGACTTGAGTAGCTCACTCATTTCCTTGCTGTCATCTGTGTAGGACCCATCTTGTTTAAGTAGGGGCCCAATACTGGACATTGTTCTCGACTTTGATTTGGCATAGGAGAAGAAATACTTTGGGTTTCTTTTGATTTCATTTATGAAGTGAGAATTATCACAATTGCTATTTGTATTGGTAGAGCCACCGGTTGGCAAAACGTCTATAAAATAAAAAATACCCATGGACCAGGCCTTGGGGGTGCTGACCCCCCAGAACACCCTCCAGATGTTGCATAGGCGACTAATTCATCATCTTGTCAGTATTGTATACCAGTGATATGCTGCTATTTGCTGATGACTCGGTATTTTTTGAGAGGTTGGAGAGCTTACTAATGAAACAGTTTGGGAGGGTGTGTATAATAAATAAGTTAAAAGTGATTATATAAAAAAAAGCAAGGCGATGAAAGTAGTAGACAAGACAATGAAAGATTAGATATCAGATTGGAGAGAGGGAGTATGGAGGAAGCTAATGTTAAAATATGTTTCAGGCGATATATTGAGAGCTTACTATAAATAAGATATGAGTGGATTAGATTAGTTCAGAGAGAATAATGTTTGTGGTACATGGCAACAGATTTCTGAAAGAATACCCACTGTCTTAGAAATTATCTTAACTGCATTTTGGATATAAGTATACTGAATTTCAGTTTCCCCTTATCTTTTCTTTCAATGCATGTATTAGCTACAGGATTTACAAAGACATTCATGATATCATTTGGACACAGGAGAAATCAATGCAACTATAACTAAAGTACTGTAATTCAAAAAATGTATCATACTGATAGCCACAACAGAAGAGAAACACACCCTGCCTGGAGATATGCTAGGAGAACTAGGTATAGAAGCTGAAGAGTGCGGCCCTGAAGACGTCAGCAGTGTTCTGATGAGGCCGTCTTTCTCCATTCTGTCCCCAATCATTGGAGATTCACATCTGTAGAGGACATCATCAATAAAGTGTCTGGTAAAAGAGCAGATGCAACTGATGTGATGTTTTATTGTGGCGACGTTTTATTATGGCAACGTTCCACTCTCCAGGACCTCTGTCAAGCTGGCTTAACAAAGCTCCTGGAGAGCAAAACATCGCCATAATAAAATGTCACATTACTTGCATCTGTGTCCTTTTACCTAACACTTTGTTGGTAATACTACCATTATTACTAATAAAGTGTCAACAGTGAATATTTTAGAAATAAGTCTGACACTTATAAATTGGGGAAAAAAATATTAGGGGGAATAAAAATTATGCAAAACATGGGAAATATGCCACAGTTCGACTTCTTTTTTCCTGGTGCATAATTTACGTATATGTTACTATGTATGATAATTGTATTTCTGAGTACCTGTACCTAAATAACCTTGCTGGTCTTTCTCACACACTCTCAGTCTTCTCTACACACTCCCGGTCATCAGCGAAGAGGCGGGGGCAGGAGCTGTGACTCGACCCCTGCAACCACAAATAGGTGAGTACACACTCCCGGTCATCCCCACACACTCCCGGTCATCCCCACACACTCCCAGTCATCCCCACACACTCCCGGTCATCCCCACACACTCACGGTCATCCCCACACACTCCACACTCCCGGTTATCCCCACACACTCCCGGTTATCCCCACACACTCCCGGTTATCCCCACACACTCCCGGCTATCCCCACACACTCCCGGTCATCCCCACACACTATCAGTCATCCTCACACACTACCAGTCATCCTCACACACTCCCGGTCATCCCCACACACTCACGGTCATCCCCACACACTCCCAGTCATCCCCACACACTCCCAGTCATCCCCACACACTCCCAGTCATCCCCACACACTCCCAGTCATCCCCACACACTCCCAGTCATCCCCACACACTCCCAGTCATCCTCACACACTCCCAGTCATCCCCACACACTCCCAGTCATCCCCACACACTCCCAGTCATCCCCACACACTCCCAGTCATCCCCACACACTACCAGTCATCCCCACACACTACCAGTCATCCCCACACACTCCCAGTCATCCCCACACACTCCCAGTCATCCCCACACACTCACGGTCATCCCCACACACTCCCAGTCATCCCCACACACTCCCAGTCATCCCCACACACTCCCAGTCATCAACACACACTCCCAGTCATCCCCACACACTCCCAGTCATCCCCACACACTCCCAGTCATCCCCACACACTCCAAGTCATCCCCACACACTCCCAGTCATCCCCACACACTCCCAGTCATCCCACACACTCCCAGTCATCCTCACACACTCCCAGTCATCCCCACACACTCCCAGTCATCCCCACACACTACCAGTCATTCCCACACACTCCCAGTCATCCCCACACACTACCAGTCATCCCCACACACTCCCAGTCATCCCCACACACCCCAGTCATCCCCACACACTACCAGTCATCCCCACACACTACCAGTCATCCCCACACACTCCCAGTCATCCCCACACACTCCCAGTCATCCCCACACACTCCCAGTCATCCCCACACACTCCCAGTCATCCCCACACACTCCCAGTCATCCCCACACACTCCCAGTCATCAACACACACTCCTAGTCATCCCCACACACTCCCAGTCATCCCCACACACTCCCAGTCATCCCCACACACTCCTAGTCATCCCCACACACTCCCAGTCATCCCCACACACTCCTAGTCATCCCCACACACTCCCAGTCATCCCCACACACTCCCAGTCATCCCCACACACTACCAGTCATCCCCACACACTACCAGTCATCCCCACACACTCCCAGTCATCCCCACACACCCCAGTCATCCCCACACACTCCCAGTCATCCCCACACACTCCTAGTCATCCCCACACACTCCCAGTCATCCCCACACACTCCTAGTCATCCCCACACACTCCAGTCATCCCCACACACTCCCAGTCATCCCCACACACTCCCAGTCATCCCTACACACTCCCAGTCATCCCCACACACTCCCAGTCATCCCCACACACTCCCAGTCATCCCCACACTCCCTAAATATCCCCACCAGAAGTATTACAGACGACACACGACCTCCTCCTCACGTTTGCAGTCACTAACAGCTTACACAGTAATAAATCCTTCTTGTCGACGTATGGAATTGAGATATTAGCCAAAGTTTTTCCATAAAATGAAAATGAACACGATTCCCCTTCGCAAATATGAAGAAAAAGTCTAGAAATCGCCAAATAAACGAAGTTTATCTCGCCTCTCCAAGCCTCAGCACTGTGTTGCTTCAGCGTTGCCAACGCTGGCACTCTGAAAGTTCGCTAAGTTTAGCGTAAAACAACACCTAAATTAAGCTTCATTTCTCTCTTTTTTTGCGTTTTTTTAATGTAGTTTGATGTAGTTTGCATGTAATAAGATGCTGTTAAGTACAGAAGAAAGCCGCTGGCATGTGTGTACATTTCCGGCAGACTAATCCTGAGGCTTATGATAGAAATAAGTCACTTTGGCTTTTTTCTGTTATCCTGGTGGGTAATTTACACGTATTTTACTATACATGAATATGATAATATGTGTAACTTATTCATGTGTATCTATACCCAAAAAAACTTACTTATTTACTTACGTACTTATTTATGCGTGCCTACTTATTTATTTACGTACCTACTTACTTATCAATCAATCAAGTTTATTCTCTATAAAGATTACAGTGCGGGGTTTACATATTATGGATATTGTTTACAATGTGTGGTTTACATATTATAAAATACTAATTACAGAGGGGGAAACTATCGCGCCTCATGACGAGGCATTTCGGGCAGACTAAGATTACATAAGAACATAAGAAAGGAGGAACACTGCAGCAGGCCTGTTGGCCCATACTAGGCAGGTCCTTTACAATTCATCCCACTAACAAGCATTTGACCAACCCAATTTTCAATGCTACCCAAACAAATTATGGTACAGATTATGGAGCATTTTGATATTAAGACTAAGTAGCTGCATTATAGTTCGTAAATTTAGCAATGTGAATGGTTTTGTCTTGGTACAATATATAGTTTATATTGAAGCTCCTATATTGGAGTATCACAGGTAAACTTATGACTAGTGAAGATTCATGAGGTAACAGTTGTATTATGTATTTCTATGTTTATAGTCAATTGGGTGACTGTAACTGATTTCATCAACAATATGAACAACACACTTCTCATACCAACAATAACTAAACCAACCAGGCTCACTGAGACAAGTGCAACCATAATAGACCACATATGGACCAATATACTAGCCCCCCTTAAATCAGGGATAATCACAGATAGCACTACAGACCACTGCCCTACCTTCCTCCTGACAAACATTAGTAAACCACCACTTGAATACAACAAAGTCTCATTTAGACTCCATGACGAGGCCTCAGTAAGGAAGTTCACAGCTGACTTAGAGACTGTTGATTGGCCTACAGAATTCTCCAAGGCCAATGGTATTGATGACTGGACAGACATTTTTCTTAACAAATTACTTAGACTATACAACAAACATTGTCCTATAAAAACAAAACAGATCACAAACAAACGGCTTGGTTGCCCATGGCTAACCAGCACCATTCTGAAATCCATTGACAAGAAACACCAATATGAAAAGTAATATAGACAGGGCTTAATACACAAAGATACTCTTAAACACTATTCATCAGCTCTCACCAAAGTGATAAAAAAAGCCAAACAACTATACTACTCCAATAGATTCACAGACACTAGAGGAGATATAAAAAAGACCTGGAAAACACTCTCTCAGATTCTAGGGACCCACAAACTGAGAAAAACCAAGAATATTGTCCTAACTAAACCTAATGAAACACCACTTACATCCCACTGACACAGCTAACAAGATAAACGACTTCTTCTCAAACACAGATCTAATCTCGCCAGTAAAATCCCACAACCAATGCCCATGCCGGGGACTACCTAGATGGGAATTTCCCTAATTCCTTCTATCTTGCACCAACTGAGCCCACGGAAGTCATTGAGATCATAAAGTCACTTAAAAATAACTCGGGAATCTGTCTCATGTCCCACCATTACTGTACAAGCGAGCGGCCCATGTCCTTTCGCATGCTATTTCATTACTTTTTAAACAAGTCAATAGAGACTAGCACCTTCCCGAAACTACTCAAGATGGCAAGGGTTACACCAATCATAAAGGTTGGGACCCTACAGACTTAAACAACTATAGGCCAATATCTAACTTACCATTGCTATCCAAAATCTTTGAGAAACTCGTGCACAGGAGACTGTATTCATTTATAACGCTCAAAACATACTCAACAACCCCTGCCAGTTTGGATTCAGGAAAAATAAAAGCACTAATGATGCAATCATAAAAATGCTAGATCTGCTTTACACAGCAATGGAAAATAAGGAATATCCACTAGGATTTTTATTGACCTAAGAAAAGCTTTTGACACAGTAGACCACGACATCCTACTCCACAAACTTGATCACTACGGTATAAGAGGCCATGCGCTTGCTTATTTCAAATCTTACATTACTAATAGGTATCAGTACGTCACCATTAAAGACACAGCATCAGCAAACACGGCCACTTGATACTGGAGTTCCGCAGGGAAGTGTCCTTGGTCCCCTGCTCTTCCTCATATACATCAATGACCTTCCAAACGTATCCCAACACCTGAAACCCATTCTCTTTGCTGATGACACGACTTATGTCATCTCTCACCCTAATCTTGCCACCCTCAACACCATTGTGAATGAGGAGCTGATTAAAATATCGACTTGGATGACAGCCAATAAACTTACGCTTAACACTGACAAAACCTATATATTATGTTTGGTAGCAGAGCAGGAGATGCACAAATTAACATTAAGATTGACAACACTCTAATTACCAGAAATAATGGGGGAAAATTCCTAGGCTTATACCTTGACAACAAACCTGAATTTCAGCACCCATATCCAGCATATATCCAAAAAAGTATCCAAAACGGTTGGGATCCTCTCCAAGATACGATACTACGTGCCGCAAAATGCCCTTCTCACACTATACCACTCACTTATTTATCCATACCTCACCTTATGCTATTTGTGCTTGGGGATCAACTGCAGCAACACACCTAAAGCCAATAATAACCCAACAAAAGCTGCAGTAAGAATAATCACTAAATCCCATCCCTGGCAACACACCCCCCCACTCTTCATAGATCTAAACTTACTCCCAGTTCAGTACATCCACACTTACTACTGTGCAATCTACATCTACAGGGCCTTAAACTCTAATATCAACCTTGACCTAAAACGCTTTCTTGATAGTTGTGACAGAACCCACAGGCATAACACCAGACACAAAACATCTCTACGACATTCCCCGTGTCCGACTAAACCTTTACAAAAATTCAATGTATGTCAAAGGCCCTAAAATCTGGAATACCCTACCTGGGAACTCTAGAACTGCAGACATATTCATCACCTTCAAAACTACCATTAGAAAACATCTTATCTCCCTGATACACCCCGTCAACTAACTACACGAATAACCACCTGGTGGTTCACACTTACACTCACTCACTCCATCTTGACCATAAACAGAAATATTAATCTCAGTCTTAAAATAATGAATCCTGTGATACTCCAATACTGAAACTATGTACTGTGCCAAAACAAAAGCATTCATATTGCTAAACTCACAAACTAGTATTTAGTCACTTAGCCATAATACCAACTTACCTCATAATTTGTAATATTTTACAATTAAGAATAAAACTAAGTATGCCCGAAATGCCTAGCCATGCTAAGCGTTCTAGTGGTACACTCTGTAATCACAATTTTACTACATGTAAACCAAACAATAACCGAATTTCTGTAAACTCAGCATTGTAATCCTTATAGAGAATAAACTTTGAATTGAATTGAATTGAATTGAATTGTGGGGAATCACAGATATCGAGAGTAGGTCGAGGTTGTGTTTTATGTGTGTATGATACAAGAGACTTGGTGGTTTTCATGTAGTTAGCTGACGGTGGGGTGTGTCAGGGAGATAAGATGTTGTCTAATAGTAGTTTTGAAAGTGATGAATGTGTTTGCAGTTCTAGAGTTTTCAGGTAGGGGGTTCCAGATTTTAGGCCCTTGTATGTACATTGAATTTTTGTATAGGTTTAGCCGGAGATAGGGAATGTCATAGAGATGTTTGTCTGGTGTTATGCCTGTGAGTCCTGTCACAACTATCAAGCGTTTTAGGTCAAGGTTAATATTGGAATTTAAGGTTCTGTAAATGTAAGTTGCACAGTAGTAAGTGTGGATGTTCTGTACAGTGAGTAAGTTTAGATCTTTGAAGGATGGAGGGGGGATGTGTTGCCTGGGATTGGAGTGAGTGATTATTCTCACTGTGGCTTTTTGTTGGGTTATTATTGGCTTTAGGTGAGTTACTGCAGTTGATCCCCAGGCACAAATAGCATAGGTGAGGTATGGATAAATGAGTGAATGGTATAGTGTGAGAAGAGCAGATTGTGGCACGTAGTAACGTATCTTGGAAAGGATCCCAACTGTTTTGGATACTTTTTTTTTTATGTTGGATATGGGTGCTGAAATTCAGGTTGCTGTCGAGGTGTAGGCCTAGGAATTTGCCCTCATTACTTACTAATATTTACTAAACATACGTTAATGAGAGGCTCATTTTTAAGTATGCATTATTACAAAAAATGAGAGGCGGCATAAATAGTATAATTTTAAGTATGTATTAATGTTTTAAGCTGATTCCAGTGATCTTATGTTAAATGGGACTTAATAATAATAATAATAATAATAATAATAATAATAATAATAATAATAATAATAATAATTGTGGAAAATAATTTTCCAAAATTATGCTGTATATTTTTATAATGCAAATATACCTGATTAATACATTACTATTGCTCTAAAGTGTATTTTAAAGAAGTGAACCGACAGGGAAGCTCTGCACCTGTGCTGACGAGCAGGGCAGAGACGCCATTGTTTTTTAATGTGGTACAGGCACGCTAATGAAATGTGCATAAATTTCGTCGCTCTGGAAGTTAAATTGTGTTTGAAACTTCCCAAATAGGAGCCGAAATTGTTGGATTTGCAGTCCTGCATAACGTGAACATTAAACAGATAGACAGGACAGCTTAGGAACCCCAGCTAAGTCGATGTCTATTTATGTTGAAATTCAGGCCAGTATTTTCTTCATAAATTTAGTCAGGGGGGTTGGTATGACTCACCGTAATCTCCAGACTAATTGGTGAGTCTTATTA